GCGTTGAAGCATTCGCGCATGCGCTGCTGCATGCGTTGGGGCAACGCACTCATGGTGCGAGAAGAGATTGAAAGCCGTCAGGGCCTGGGTGCACTCAGCAAGAAGCTTGTTTTCATCTTTTGCGGCGCAGTTTCAACTGCAAATTGATGCCGCTTCAGGCACATCCTCGCCAACCTCTTGATCAGTTGACACAAACACACACATTCACAATGTGAAAGATGCTTTACTGAAGCAGAACACCGATTTCGTTGTACAACATGAGGGTCATTCTGAACGCAAAACACACAGTTTCCTGCCTATGTGTTTAGGTAAATGCACTAGCAGTAGCCAGTTCCCTGTTGAGCATCACAAAATGCAAGGCCATCAGCGAGAGCACTTTCCAAATTGAAAAGATAATGCGAATGCAGCATGTGACATTGACATGTATTCTGTATACTTACAAAAGAACAGATTTGTTGCAGAAGGAAAATGCCAAAGCCGAAAGACCTTGCAAGACTCAAGGTAGGCAAACTCCTTAAGACCTTGCCCCAGCACTCTAGAGAATCGCATGAAATGCATTTGGCTTGAAGGCATATTCTGTCTTGCAAGCCTTGATTTTCCCCAAGGTCTGCTTCACTCTTGCAAGAGCACCGACTGTTTGAATAGTGCTAAGAGCGGTTCAAAAACACAGGGTGCAAAGCAGGCACATGGGAATTCCCTGGAACCCAGTCCTCTGGTGTTCCAGGACTATTCCTACACGTGCAAGCTGAATTGGACAACTAGAGCTATCCGCGACATTCAAAGCCTCAGCTGGGCAAGCAACCACAAAACCTCTCCAAAGCGGTTCGAGGCCCTGACAAATCAAGAATCGAACTCTGCTACATTACCGTCTCCGCTACTTGACTCCTGCATTGCTGGTTATGGCTATCATGCCACAACTGTGAATTGCAGCACAAAACACAAGTTCAAAGTGCACAGGCCGAACAATATCATGGAACCACAAGAGTGAGAAACGAAGCTGGGAAACGACACCAAACTGCTGTGACTTGGAACAAATCCGCGCAAGTCAACCGATAAGGCGTATATCCATGATGCACAAAATTCTTTGCAAAATACTGTGTCAAAAAAGATTGTATGTGTCCTTCTCAAGCAACTCCCTCCTTGACGGTCCCCTCTTCTTAGCTGGGTATTTTCCGTTCTACACACAGAATGTCCGAACGAATCTAGAAAATAACAAGAGGATGCAGGAGACAAGCTGTACTTGAAAGCATGCAACGGATTATAGAAGCTGTGAAAGGTGAAACAAGGCTCGATCCAGCGTCGATTCACAACTGCTGGCAGTTGAATGAGCCGGTTGACCAACTACGCCGTCCCACCACAAAAAACGGTTGCAAAGAGCAATCCTCTGGATTTGTCGGTGTCTTGACGCAGGAGTTCTGCCATGGCTGCTAAGGAGCCAAAGGAACATGCAGCTTCGAATGTGCCGAACGCAAACACTCCGGACGAAGAGAGGATCGGAGCGAGGCATACAACCAACTCAAGGGTCCAAGCGCAACGTGGCAATGGCGTCGTGCTGGAGGCTGATGTGGTCGCAGGGCAAGGCCCGGCGGCGACGAAGTGCCCGACCGCCAGCGCGGGCTAACAACACCGCCAACTGGTCGGCCAAGCGGCCCTTCACCACTTCATGGCTGAGCCCGTCAACCACTGCCACGAGTCCAGTGAGCCTGTGCAGGAATGCTCGTGTTTCGGCAGCGCAGCCCCCTTGGGCTTCCCATACCAGCGGGAGGTACTGGACCCCAGCCGCGAGGCAAAGTGCCTCGGTACGGTTGTGTTGCCGCTTGCGGCGAGCATATTGGGAACACGCCGTGCCACCTGCTTGCCGGGTCTCATCCCAGTGGTTGTCCCCCAAAGCGTTCGCAACGGCAATGTCCAACGCAATCGGTGAAGCGCTGTGTGACCTGCTACCCGCACCAACACGTCGGCAGCCGTCGACGTCCATCCAGGATTCCAGCTGCTTCGAGCTGTGGGCGGAGTTGGGCCCGCTGGCAGTAGTCAAAGATCAGGTCTCGAACGCTATTGCGTAAGGTCACATGATCGCCACCTGCCATGCAACTCGACGCATGCCGACCCTTGCAGTCCAAGGTTTTGCCACAGAAGCGGCAGGCCCCACCTCCACACACATCGACTCCCAAGCGACTTCCTACAGCGGTAGTGTCAAGTGTGAATGAAGGTGTCAGCCCCAGCACCGTGGCAGAGCCATCGACCCTGTAGGCGTGGAGCCGGCACTGGTCGTCACTGCCAGCATGGGCGCATTGGCCCAGCTGCGCGCTCAATCCGTGTTGGGTGAGATTGGATGGTTCACCGTACACGAACGGATTGGGTGATGTGGCTGTGCGCAAGGTGTTCCAACAGCGGCCAAGAGCCGCATGCAAGTCTGAGCCAGCGCCAATGTCCCAAGAAAATGGAGGCCACACAGCCGCACCCCGTTCCACGATAACCGCCCGCGACCCTATATAGGCCACATCAGCTATGCTGACAGTGGGTCGCAGCCCAAGGCCGCCAGCCTGTGCTGGGAGGGTGGCTTGTTCCCACGCCAGCGTGTCGAGCTGCAGACCCGTCAAGGCACTGAAACTGTTCCGCATGCCATCATCGTAGGTCCGCAACCCCTGGCCACACAAGCGGACTGGAGTGGTGCGGGCCATGTAGGTCAGACGCCCCGCACCGCACGAGAAGCGGAGGAGGTAGTACCCAACTTGTGCATCAGGCAGCTGACCAACCTTCTGCAGGATCGCAACCTGCTTGGCGGCGCGGTCGTTGCAGTCAGCCACACAGAAGGAATCCGTACCAGTGGGTGAGCGCAGCACCTCGTAGTTGGCATCTGCCTGGACGCTGCAGCCAAGAGCAGTTGGGAGCTGCAGGGGCCACTACGGCGCTCGCAGGCCAACGTTCGGCAACACGGCTTGCCAGTGCACCAGGCACCGCAGGACTTCTGCAGACGGCCCACACAGAATGGCCGTCGTCTGCAAAGCAGGGTGCCATGTCCAGCCGCGCTGGCGGTGACAGCACAGGCACCTGGATGCTACTCCCCAGAGGTGGCTGCACCAGCCCAAGTGATTCCAACAACAACCTTGCTGCCCGCCAGCAACGGAGTCAATGATGGTGTCGTGGAAGAAAACTTTGGCGGCAGTGTTTGAGGGGTAGATGAACTCGAGCCAGCGGCTCAAGCCAGGCACGACCTCACGCATGCGACTCAAAAAGGCGCGCCGGTCAACCGCATTGTGGGCATTGCCCTCATCATAGGACAAGCAAACACGGTCAGGGTCACCACTGTGTTGCTGCTGCAGGTGTGGCATGGTCTCCGCGCCACAGCTCACCCCTACCGCTAGCTGGTGTGGTAGAAGGTGAGCCCTCAAGGCTGGGAGTTCAGACCGCAGCAGCACTTTCCCAACCAAGCGGCGGAGGGCTTCCCCGGCGCATAGTGGCCGAACATCTGGGTGACCAGACTTGGAAACCTTGCGCAACGCGGTGCCTCGTGCCACACCAAGGTCAGGACGAAGTCCCGAGGGGGCCCGGCCATCACTGAGCAGGTTCACTAGGCTCGTGAGTAGTTGGACGGCTGGCCGCTCATCTCCACCACCGCCAACAAGTTGTTGGAGGAAGTCAGGCCTGAGGCCGCTGGGACCTGGGGCAGCCCCGCGGGGAAAGGACCGAACAGCGCGGAGAACATCTTCGGCTGCGGCTTCATTGGCAGGCGGCGGTGGTGGCCGGGCAGATGCGGCTTGGTGCGGCGGGCGTGGCGGGAACTTGCTCCGCATGGCCCCCACTACTGCAGGGGTGGGCTCCGCCACTTTCCCCCCACTCAGCCTCTGCAAGGCCTTGCCTGGTAGTCCTCGGCGGGCTAACTGCACCGCTGCCTCAACCTGCTGCTGCTCGGGGTCGGCTGATGAAGGCCCTTTGTGCTGGCGGCCGCGGACTGCTTCATCCCACAGCTCACGACATTCGCCAAGCCCCCACCGCTCAAGGCGGTTGGCCGCTAAGTTGTGGTTCCGACGCTGCTTGGCACGGCCCCCCGGTAGCACCCCGAGGCAGGTCCTGGGAAACATGAACAGCTCGGTCCAAGCCAGGCGGCAACCGCGATGGGCGTCGGTGTCGGCCATGGAACCGACGTGGTCTCAGGCGTCCGGGCAGTTGCTTTGCAAGACCCGGGCCACGCAGCGGAGAAACTCCTTCTCTGCCATGGGTAGCAAACCTGCGCTGACAAAGTCCCGTGTGGCAACAGGTGCAGCCATGATTTCATCCAGTGAAGGTAGGCTGGCCAGCACATGCCCTACGGCTGAGGCTGGGTGACCGTCAAGTGAAGGTGCTGGGGCTGGACGGCAAGAAAGCCGCGCAGCCATGCACGTCCGGTGCACCCCTCCGTTGCACCGTCGGCTGACTAACCGAGTGCACTCTGGGCAGGCCACCAGGTCTTTGGCTCGTAGCCACTCGACTGGGGGTACGCCGGCAGCCCACCTAGCTGGTGGGCGTCCATATGAGCCCTCAGGCCTGGCCAGGAGTCCCATGCATCCGTCATGTCGACATCGTCCTCTAAGGAGGGAATCTGCCCATCGGCCGCAGACCCGCGGGACGCATTGCTGCTCCCCTGTCGGGGTGGTCTCTCGCCCCCAACGGGCGTCCCCGGCGATGGAGCCATGGCTTATCCTACAGTTGCATAACTTTGAAGCAACAATTACAGTCCGTACAGAAAATAACAAAGGTGTCTACCATGCAATTAGGCCAGGCACAGGAGTTTGCGCACTGAGCTTGCCAGGTTATACTTGTGTTGGGAGGAAATTGTATAAAAGTGTTTGCAACAACTGTCCTGACACCTCAATTGTTTTGGGTTGTGGTGATACAAAGTTTTGTCTCCCGGAGAGTGTTCTTCCCCGGCAAAGCCAAGCTTGCTTGGTTGGTTTCCCTTTGAGATCCTTGCTTAGTTGCAGCAATCCAGTGTGCAAACCTTTACAATGAATGGCGCCCTCCTCTGTTGATGGCATTCTCGAACTGGTGTCTCTTGCCCACCTGGCATCTGCTTTTACTTCGATCATTTGTCCGCCAAGCTGAGCTGAAGATGCTTAGGTCCCTGCAAAACGATGCAGTTTGGGCGTCGTCACCTCGAGGACACTGGCTGCCAGAGTGTCTGGGTGGAGATTTTTGAAAAACATATGATATCAAGGGTGCAAGCGGAGAATCCTAAGTGAGACAGTCTGTCAGCCAAAGTAAGGTGGACTGGAACAAACAAAGGTCGAGTAGCAAAGCTGAGGTCAGGTGGGGGGATGTAGACATCCGCACTTGGGAGGTTCTAGCGTGTGTGGCGCCCCTGGGTCACCAGGTGCACTTTTGTTAACCAAATACTTCTAATTTGAACAAAAATTACACCAGCATAGGCCCAAATAGCTAGGCAGCATCCCACGACCTGTTGACATGCGACTGGCTGGAGCAAGAATGTACACAGCCTGCACGCACAGCCAGCTTACGGCGCCTCCACAGCGCGCGCAACCAGCTGACACCAGCACCGGTGCGCTTTGCCAGCTGACAACACCGGCGGCGGCACCAGCACCCGACCAGCACCGCCTCCACCACGCGCACTGCCAGCACCCAGCACCCTGTCTCCACCACGCGCACAGCCAGCTCACAGCACCCACCGCCAGTACCACAGCCGCGCAGCCAGCTCACAACACCAGCACCAGCACCGGCACCCGGCACCCTGAGCACCAGCCCACGCGCACAGCCAGCACCCAGCACCGGCACCCTGTCTCCACCACGTGCACAGCCAGCTCACAGCACCAGCATCAGCACCGGCACCCAGCACCAGCAACCACCAGCACCAGCACCTGCACCCGGCACCCAGCACCAGGCACCAGCACCGGCACCAGCACCAGCACCGGCACCAGCAACCTGTCTCCACCACGTGCACAGCCAGCTCACAGCACCAGCACCAGCACCGGCACCCAGCACCCAGCACCGGCACCCGGCACCAGCACCAGCATGTCTCCATTACGTGCACAGCCAGCTCACAGCACCAGCACCGGCACCAGCACCGGCACCCAGCACCAGCAACCTGTCTCGAAAGCGCGCATGGGCAACTCATTGTTATATATTTGAAGTAAGAACCCCCTAGCTTCGCTATCTGGGGAATAATCATTCCAATTTGAACATATTGTCAATAACCTTTGAAACACTTTGCTCCTTCCAGTCCCTTCGGCTAGCCCGTCTAAGTCCAGCGCCAAAGAGAACAGAGCTGTGCTGGACTGCGACGACACAGCATTGCAAAAACAATCCACAAATTGACAAAATTGCGAAACAAAAACGAAAGAAAAGAATGACAAACAGCCATCACAAAAAAGAACATCGGAACGGCCCCAAGTCTTCTAAAGCCTGCTTTCAGCTGCTTCAGCAAAGACTGCTGATGCCTCAAGAGAAAGAAAGAAGAAATGGCGGTTTTGCATCTTCTTCTTTCACTGCTTGACTTTTGCTTTGCTTTTGGGGGAGGAACCAAGTCCGACCAAGCTTGACAACTACTTAAGGGGCTGCTCTTGAGACTTCTCCGAAGAGGCGGGGAAGCTTCGAAGAACCCCTCGCATGATCGAAATGGTTCGATTTACGAAGAGCCCTGGATCTAGACCTAGTGACCTAGTGACCTACATCACCAAAACATCTCAGACTTTTACAGTACATGTTCCTTTTACTATTTTTCCTTTCAACACCACAAAAAGGCCCATTTAGCTTGCAAGCTGCGTCGTCAGGATTTCAGCAAACTCATCCTTGGAAAACTCGTGCCTTGCCTGCGCCACCGCATCGTGTGTGGGCGTGTGTGGGAAAAAATAACATTTCCAAAGGGGATGCATCTGCTTCTTACCACTCACTTTTTGCATCTGACCTGCTGTGCTGACCCCTACAAGACCAAACCTGTTCCAAGGTCTGGAAAAATACATTGGCAATCCGGACAGCCATTTCCCATGAACCCGAAAACTGCGGCAAGTTGTCGTCACCTCACGAGCTTGCTGCCTTGGAGCCAATCTCACAAGCAAGTCTCTTCTTTTCATTCTCGGAAGAATGACATGGCCTGTTGCATGCTTGATTGTATAATGGCCTTCCAAGGAGCACTAAGCGGTCGAAGCTCACTATTGCCGGTGTCTCCACCAAACCTCCATGTACTTTTGAAAGAAAGCGAGCAAGCCAATTGCAAAGAGAAGTTTAGAGGAATAGAATGATCCTAGATAGCCCGACATGAATCATGTCTCTCCAAGTATCCTCTAAGAGAATAAGGGTGTGATTGGTGTGATGCTAGTGCTGGACGAACACCACATACAGCATTGCACTCTGCTTCATCTCTCAAGCGCGAAGGAGAAGAGCGCAAGAACATCCACAGAGTTCCGCAGCACAAGGACACCCAAAGGGCAACAAACTTTGAGGATCACGCCCTTCAAGGGTTCCAAAGCAACATCAAGACGTCTACCGAGGCAATGATCCTCACGCGTAAAACAAACACCAGAGATGAAGAACCAGCGTGGTGGAATAGAAGTTGAAGGGGTGAAGGATGGATTCGGCCCACCAAGAGATGAAATAGAATGAAATAAGTAGCCTCTAGCTGCTGGCAGCAATGCACTTGACCTGTTACTAGTAGAACCAAGTTTTAGACTTAAAAGGCCTAGCCAACACCATCTCTCCAGACCGGTGGCTTAGAGGCCGTCGTTGCTGTGTCACTCTACTTCATTGTGCCGACCCCGGTGCAAGGTTGAAGTGGAACAGAGTCACGGTGTGCCCCTACAGTAACAAGTGTAGTAACAAGGGCATTACTACTTATAGCAAGGAGCTATTAGTAACAAGCGCGTTCACTTTTGACTTTTGGCCCTACATCCTTTTCACTCTTAAACTGAATTTCAATTCCTGCGCAGTTGTCAACACCACCTGATAGTTTCATCCATTATTATAGAAATAAGTTTTAAAAAGAAATCCAAATGAAGATGGCCAGGGGTTCCCGGGTCGATAGTCACCTGGAAAAATTTAACGATTTATCCAACGCAATCTTGTGATGTTTCTGATGTTTAAACATATCAGTAGCATTTCGAGCATCACGCATACAAAACACACTGTAGTTAAACATATTTCTTTCACAATGGCTAAAGGCAAATCTATGCAATCAATCTATGCAACTGAATGCGGTGATTGTTTCACATTGGAGTCTAAGGTGACAGCGTGTTTGCTGGCGCGATTTGTTCCAACTTGCATTTTTGGCACGACAAGTAAATGCTGCCAAATTGAAGCGGGTTCTTTCTGAAGATATTGAAATGCCATTCTCAGAGTTGGGACGTGTCTTTAGTTTTTTAGTGTTGTGTAAGGGCTTGCAGAGCTCCGAGAAGATCGAAACAGGGAAGCGTGAAGGGGCCTTGCTGCAATCTACTTAGTGCTTCACCAAAATGTTGCTGCAAACCATCTGACAAACTGTCAGGATAAAGAACATGACAGTTTTTCGAAACCCGCTGCTCGCAAACCAACTTAGATTCAACAGACTCTGCGTGGGAGACAAGACAAGCACCACTTGGAGACCAGCGAGATAAGAAATTGAAATAGGCATCTCTTCAAAACGGGCAGTCCAGCTGGGGGCTACTCCCCACCAAACATATTCAGAGAAAAGCGGGAAAAAGGAACTATCTGCGCAAGGGACCCCAAACAGTGTGAAGCAGAAAGTCTAGAGATCTAGACGCGTTGGGGTCCAGAGAGGTGATAGTGGTGATCAAGGTGGGGATCGTGGTGACGGTGAGTGGGTGGGTGAGTGAGTGAGTGAGTGGAGGAGTAGAGTGAGTGGAGTGAGTGGAGTGAGTGGAGTGAGTGGAGGAGTGAGTGGAGTGGATGGAGTGAGTGGAGTGAGTGGAGTGAGTGGAGTGAGTGGGTGAGTGGGGTGAGTGGAGTGAGTGGAGTGAGTGGAGTGAGTGGAGTTGAGTGGAGTTGAGTGAGTGGAGTTGAAAGGAGTGGAGTTGAGTTGAGTTGAGTGGAGTGGAGTGGAGTGGAGTGGAGTGAGTGGAGTGAGTGGAGTGGGTGGAGTGGGTGGAGTGGGGGCGCGAGCATGAGAGTGAGAGTGAGAGTGAGAGCGAGAGAGTGAGAGTGAGAGTGAGAGTGCGAGCATGAGAGTGAGAGTGAGAGTGAGAGAGTGAGAGTGAAAGAGTGAGAGTGAGAGTGAGTGTGGGTGTGAGTGTGGGTGTGAGCGTGAGTGTGAGTGTGAGTGAGAGTGAGAGTGAGGTGAGAGTGGGAGGGGGAGAGCGAGCGTGTGTGTGTGAGTGTGAGTGTGAGAGTGAGATCAGAGTGAGAGTGGGTGTGGGTTTGAGTGTGTGAGTGTGAGTGCATATCCATAAGTGTGTGGGTGAGTGAGTGAGTGAGTGAGTGAGTGAGTGAGTGAGTGAGTGACACTTCGAGGTTCATGAAGCGGTGTGCCTGCCACGAAATCTGCACCTCGAGGTTCACAAAGTGCTGTACCTGCCACGAAATCTGCACTTCGAGGGGCTGTGCCTGCCACGAAAACTGCGAACGAGCCACATGTCCAAAAGTCACGATTCACTGCGCCCGTCACGAAATCTGAGCTCATCGACGATCACCACCATGTCCAAAGTGCTGCACTGCACTTCGAAGTAAAACAGTTCAGATCCCTTCCACCTGTCACGAAAAGTCGACTTTGGAGCACCAAAACACGAGGTTTCCCTTCCGCCTGCCACGAAAAGTCCCCACCATGTGCGAATATGCGCACGGCACCACAACGAGAGCGCAGTCGCTAGAAGCACCCTCCGCGACCAGATTCTGTCAGCCTGCGCGGTCGAAATGCATGTCGACGATTTCGAGAGGTATGAATGTACTGTAATTAGCAGCGAATTAGCCGCACAGCTGCTTTTCCACTACCGTAAGGACCCCTAAGTGTGTCCACACTGTTTGGGGAACAAACCCAAAACAGTGGCAGCCCTGTAGTCGCCACAGTGCGAAGCTGGAGACCATGGCAGCAGAGTGGTCAATCATTCTTGCTTGGGACGAGCTGGGAGAGCGAAACCGTGCCGCGGCCGCAAGCCACACCACATACGCGGAGACAAACTCAAGTTTGAGACAGGCCTTGCAGCTCCCAGATATCTTGGGAATAAACAAAAAGCAAAACAAATGGCATCCGAGGGTGTTGCACCTCAAATTGTGGGAATGACAAGTCAACATGCATGACCAGAAATCGGTTAACGGCTAAAGCATGCCTGCTGTGATAGCGTTTGTGGATTCTTCTGGCAATGCCATAGTCGTCCAGCCTCAAAACTCCGACAAATGATTGAATTTCCAGATGTTGAGAACTCCACGTTGTCACAGCGCCTTTCGAGCTGAATGTGTCGGAGCCAGAAAGCGCTGCGGTGCCTCAGGCAAAAATTCGTACAAAAGCTCCGCGATTCAATTTGCGGCTTATTGGATTGGCTGCTGTCATGGCATTCGTTCTTCTATGCCATTGCAGGATGCTTGCATCGAACCCCATCTCAAACGATCACAAGGGAGCACCGTGTATCTGTTTGTGGAAGAATCATTGCTCACCTTGCTGTACTCCAGCGCTTTTCAAGGACCTTGCCCTTGGCAGCTTGTCAAACATGGCTTGAGCATCAGCTTGCATGCATCTTGTCAGCTATTGTTGGCCATGGGCCGATCATCACGCAGCGGAGGTTACACTCATGTTTGAGATGCTATCTGGCATGCTCTGTTGTCGCTGCAAATGGCACGCAATTGCCGCGCATACAAATGCCCAAGGGTTCGCGCGAAAGGTCCACAAGCTGATGGTCCTGCATCTCTGGCTCAATGGGTTTCACCACTTGGTGCTCCCTGTGAGTGTGAGCCATCTGCCTTCACTTGTCCTACAGAATCCTACTGCTGCTATGTCAGTGTTATGCTGCCATTGCCTCGAGCATTGCATCAGAATATCTTCCAGGTCTTCTTGTAATGGCCCCAAACTACATGCACACTTCTACATTCTACAAAGTCTTTTCTTTTCGTCCATGCCTTGCATTGCTACTGGATGTTTGGGCTGCACGAATTCGGCATTATGTTTGGCAAGGTCATTTCATGCTCTGGGCGCTCCTGTTGCCTTGCCGGACAGTGCTTGCTGGTCTGCGCCTGGCGGGTCTGCTTTCTCCAAGCCTCCTCAGAGTTTGTTGAGCTTGTCGACACCTATCAATTCTGAGTCACTACTCTTCGGAGGCCTCTGCTCTCGACTAATCTGGGTTATTCTGCACAGTTTACTGCTGAGCGAATTAGGCGTTCGGGTAGCCAGAAATAGACAAAGCCTCCTCGCCAGTCCACATTATATTGATCATAGAACTGTTGGTCACAGTTTCCGGCCCATAGCTAATCATAGCGAGCAAATCTTACTTAGTGAGTGCTGTTTAGTGACTGACTGTTAGTGTTGTTGCGGCTGCTGTTGCGTCTGTCAGCAATACCGTGGCTGCGGCGCCCTGCGTCTAGTTGCTTGTCTCTAAATCCCGGAAGAACGGGAGAGAAGCACACATTGATGATGAGGAAATGACTTGAAATGATTCTAAGCTTTTGCATTGTTTTACAATCTTGGTTGAGCCTTACAGTTGTCAATTCCATGCGCAGTGTTGCCCTGACACTTGCCGCGGCGCTGACAAGAACAAATTTCAGACCTGTGCTCAATCGCAGCCATCGTTCTGATTCTACCCTTGTTGCTGCTAGGATGTCTACGTTTGCCACCTTTTCCACCGTTTGCTCTGATCAACGGAAGTTTAGTGTACAAAACTTCCGTGTTACAGACATTCAAGAACCACTCATACACCACTCATCAATACACCACTCATCATACACCACTCATCATACACCACTCATCATACACCACTCA